CTTGGGAAATGATAAGAATGCCAAAAGTTCCAGGCACGCATAAGCCGCGTGTAGCTGGATGCTGATTCCGCCATATCCTTGCTATCCCGGCATCCAGTGTTGGGGCAGGCCATGGCAGGCTCCGCTCCTGTTCGTTGTGTAGGCTACCGAGCTGAATCGATCGATGGAAATTTCTTTACACCCGTTTTTGATAAGAGTGCGTGGGAGTGGTATGTATGTCAGCAAGGAACGTTCTATGCTATGAGTATGGCATTCAGCAATTGGGGTTGGGGTGCCTCCCACTTGAGCATCAGATAAATGCTTCAAGATTGTGGATTGCCCAATAACTTGTTCTATGACTTATATTTGTACTTTTCTTTTGCACTTGGAAAGGAATAGGGAAGAAATATAACTTATGTATTTACCACAAACTAAAACTGAATTCGTAAGCAGAGAACGACTGGCTGGGCTGCCCCTTGAATCTTGATTGAAGGAGGCCATTCATCTTGTGCACTGCACTTTCTAAGCCAATCTGCGGCCCAGGCTATGAACCTGATATCCCTACTTATGACGCTAAATCCGTTACAAACTCGTGAATCGTCTGGCTTGGAAAACAGAAAACGCAAAGCAGGAAAACCCGACTCCAGTTCGGACAGAGTTCGTGACACGGCATCAACAGTTTGTCATTAAATATTTCGACAATAATTTGCTTTGTGCTCGCATTTATATATATATATATATGTATATATATTTATACCTACATATGTATGTATGTATGTACATCTTTTGATTCGCATTTCTTTCTTTCCGCTGACTTCCCGAATTGTAACTGTAGACGCTACTGGCCCGGACGGTCGGGACGGTAGGGACGGGTCTTGAGATTGTTATGGCATTTACATAAAAGATAAGTGGGTCTCCCCCGTCCGCGGCTTTGCGAAGCACACTGCACAATTATTATTGGACCTATGCGGGGACCTGTCCATTGTGTCTGGAAAAACTCTGGCCACGATCTTCCCCCCTTTTGTTATTGTAAATACGAGTATACTCACTCGTTCGTCGCTCTGCCTTTGTTCTGCTCTGCTCTGCTCTGCTCTGCTCTACTCTGATCTGCTTTTGAGGCTGCACTCGTCGACTTCCTAAAGGCATTAAAGGTATCAGGCAGAAATCAACTTTTGCTACTTGTCGCTGGCTCTCGATTGTTATGCAAATCGGGTTGCTCAGGTTGCGTATACGACGTGTGGTTCCATAAGGCGAGCGATTAGAAGCCGTCATGTGTGAACTCTAGCAGAACCTCGTGGTGCCTGGGCCCCTGCCTAGACAATAAGCCCTGGCAACGTGGCAGCCCTGACCCGCTTAGTTAGCGTTATCGGCATCAAGATGTGGTGTGGTGTGGTGGGGGAGGGAGGGTGGGTAGAAAGGGGAGGTGGGGAAACGTAGGTCGCTCCTTCGCTCGTCGTTCGCGAATAAAACAAATTAAAGTCAACAATTGACGGCAGTTAGGACCTGGAGCTACTCGCCTTGAAAGCTAAAGCCCCGGCCACAATGTACGAACGAGCTCTGCAGCTCTAAGTCTAGGTCTGATACAGCTCGCCTGACTCCCCGACTCTTATCAGCGGCCTCATCGATGGCGCGACCATTTGGCAATAATATTTTGTAGCCGCATTCATACTAACTGCAGTTGTGTGCCTCCAGTTGCACTTTTCTAGTGGCAGCCGCTGCCTTGCCTTGCCGGTGCCAGACTCGGGCACAGCTGGGATTTGGATTTGCATTTGCATTTTGCGTTGCCCGCCTCCCTGCCTGACAGTGAATAATTTGCCATTTGACTTCGATTTTGCGTTCCGTTTGCCTAATGACTGCGAAAAGCGCAACGCTGAGGCGCAAACCAAAGGGAGCCACAGCGAGCCCTTGGCGGCAGCAGAAGTGTAAGCGAAGCCTGCAGCCGCGGGGGCCACAGCAATCACATAATGAGGGAATAGTTTCGAGTCCAATAACCAAAGGCGAAACTGATCTTGATAAATTTACAGAGTTTCAAATTGTGTTGCTTTCTTGCGTTCAGAGCTTGATGCTTCCCAGCCTAAGTGCCATTCAAGGATAGTGCATAAGAAGAGGGTTCAGTCGTAGTACACCCATTCAAGAGCATAAGGCACATTGCACATTGAACCGATTGGGCCATACTCCACTTTCGATCGGAGGCTTCAATCATAACCTACCGCATCCATTTCCCCCTTCGCTTACAGACTCCCTTCGACAGCTCTTCTGGCGTTCCAAGAAATTGTTTGACAATGCAGACAATTACGCATACACATTTTATCACCTGAGACCCCCAAGCAGACGGATTTCAAAGAAATTCCATTTGCATTCGATCTGCCGCGAGTCCCGTGGAGATTCCCGTATCCCGAATTAATGAGTTCAACGGAATCCCCATCGATATTTGTGGGCTAAGGTCAATAAGGTGGATAGGTACTCCCGCTGGAGTCCCCAATGGATGCAGTTTCCCTTCGGAGAAGCGAAAGAGAACGCACTTTCTGCCCCTGCTTTGGCGATGATTTCATCGATTTCATCACCCAAAAACATGCAAATGCCAGCATCTAGAGAGATCGCATGCATACTGAGCAGCAGTTAAAAATTGAAAGCGATTATCGATGCGGTTCAAATATTTATCAATATGTAAATGGAGCCGAGCCACCGATCAGGCGATACGGAAAGAGTCATTGCGCCGCAAACTATTGCAATACACATTTTTGATGGAAGAGGAGGCTCCTCCGCGGCTTCTACTTCTACTTCGGCTTCGGCGTAACCCTTTCTGGCTTTCGGCAGGGTGCAATGCACCAAACGCTATTTCAGGGACAGTGTCCAGCCCCAGCCCCAGCCCCAGCCTCAGCATGATTCCGAGCCGGAGCCCGAGCCCGAGCCCGAGCAGGGAACGTGTGCTTTTGGGAGCAGGAGTGGGAGGAGGAGGAGGAGGCACAGTCGACGAGCTGCGAGAACACCTTGAACCTAAACTGACCGATGTGGGGGCTGGGGACTGGGGACTGGGGACTAATTTATGCACTAAGCACCTTATTAGATATTCTAAAATTAAGTCGAGCGATCAATGCATTCGTCTGCCTGCAGACTTGCCCCAGTCCTCAAAATTTCTGCCCGCGATCGATCGCCTCAGGTCTGTTCTGACACACAAAATGTGTGTCATATATGCATGAGATTTTTGGCGCCTGTTTTCTGGCATACGATTTCCAACAAATCTAGCACCGAAATGCAAACAAATGAATTCCCCTTCCTCTCCAATGCGCCTCGAAAGGTGCCAGCAAGTCGGCGAAATTCCTTTAATGCGCCTCGACTCTGGTTCAACGTTTGACATTGATATTGACATGTGCCAAGGCTTGCTACGGCTGGGACTACTATCGATCCATCAGTTCGATCTCCATCTCCAGCGAATGGCTCGCGCTTAGAGCCATGCGGGCGCAGCATGCGAAACCAGCGATTCCCAGGTTTTCTTCTCCTTTCCTTTCCTTTCCAGCATCCTCTGTCTGGTATGTGCATATTGCTTGCACTGAGGTGTTTTGTTGGCCAACGACAAACATGTGTTGGGCATGTGTGGCAGTCCTCCTGCTACTATCGAGCCTCAGTCGGGACGTAGGTGTGACGGTCAAGGAACTGACCAGAGAACTGATAACAGACAGATAGGAGATAGGAGACAGGAGACAGGAGACTGGGGGTTGGTTGCTCCATTAAGTCCAGCATTCACTGAAGTATTTTCATGCTAATAATCTAATATTTTGGCATTCAATTCAGCATGCTGCCATGTCGATATTTTACAACCAATAATAATGATGTTGCATTTGCCTTCATGTCTACCCACGAAAATTATATTATTTCCAATTGTTATTCTGGGAAAATCATTCCCAAACTGAGAATATGTTCGCAGATCTTCACGTCTTTTCCAAGGGTAGTCTTTGGGCTCACCTCCGCCATACCTCCGACTCCGCTAGGCTCTCCTCGCCAGTTGGCTAGTTGGCCCATGCCAAGTGTGAATTTTCCCACCAGAGATAGAAGCGCCCTTCCTTACCTTCACGGCAAGGTATTATTCGAATTCGTATTCGTATTCACACATGATGGAACTCTGGCGGGGAATGGAAAAACAAGCAGGGCGATGCATGGCATGGCGCACGGGAGGGCAGAGCCAAACACATGTGTGACCAAGTCGCTTCCAGAGCACGTACTACTCGAAGGTGCGAGTCCTTGGATTGCCATTCCCATTCCTATTCCCATTCCCATTCCCATTCTCTTCCATGTTGTGCCACATGATAATGTTTTGTGCTTTTCCCGTAGCGCCAGGCGTGTCAAAGTCTGAAAAGGAATTTCTCAAGGCAAGAATCTCATCTCGCACATTACGACGGAGACGGAGACGGCGCTCGAAAAAACACACGAGCCAACGTTACATATGTTCCCGGGCGGGCGTGTCCGAGCCGGCAAAGGAATTTCTCAAGGCGAATCCCACATCTCCCATGTGTTTTGGGAGTTTACTCTCTCGCCTTTGGTTTTTTGCCTCGCATGGGAAAAATCTGCCTCGCAGCGAGACATGTGAGAACTTTCCGACATGTGGCCACTGGCCACTGGCCAGTAGCGAAGCGTACTGATCATCATTAGCCCGCTCAACGCACACTGCGGTCATCTCGAGTGGACAGGTTGTAAAGAGGACACTCCTCCTACAGCTCTGGGCCAGACCTCACACTTGACTCTATGCGCCGGGGCAGGCGCAGGGGCAGGCGCAGCCTTCCGCACAGGTATATGCATGGCAGGTGGTGGGCATCAGCAAACAAGAGGCGAGGTGAGAACAGGTAAACATTTGCCAATATCTCCGCTCTGCGATACCATGCCCCGACGCGTGTCCGTGTCCGTGGCAGGTGCCTCGCCTGCTATGATTGTTGACGCTGCTCGGGTGTGAAGTGGTCGCCTTCCCTCCTACCTGTGTTTCCCCTCATAGCTAATGTAATCAAATCAGTTGGTGCGGGAGTCAATAATTAAGTTGACTTTACTTTTACTGACAAGAAAATAAACGATAATTTAGGTGGATATGTTGGCGCTGGTAGCGCCGAAAGTAAACTCATCCAGTCCGCTTTGGGCGTCCTGCGGGTTGGCGGGAGGCGTTGGATTGCGGAACTGGTCCGCCGAGATGCGCGTGAAGAGGATGCCAACGCCCTCGATGATTGTTAGGAGCAGGCCCCCGACGAGGGCGCTGCAGGCCATGGAGACCTTTCCATTGCGTCCGGCCAGAATGCCACCGGTGACGGCTCCGCTAATAATCGAGTTCCAGGGATCCTCCTTCTGGCGCAGGCGCACCAGTGTGCAGTCCACAATGCTGAAGATTCCGCCCCAGGCGGCAAAGTTGCCGGCTATCCCGGGCGAGCGGGACTTGATGGCTGCCATACCACCCATGACGCGTCGCCCCATGCCCTGGGGTGCGTTCCGGAAACCCTTGAGTCCCTGGAAGAGGCCACTACCAATGGAGCCCATGGCGAAGGCTCCGCCACAATCATCCACAATGCGATAGGGGCACGGCTCACGCGAGTACTCCTCCATCTAGGCAAATGAATTCAACTTGGAAAATGAGAACTGAAACTTGTGGAAATTTTCCTACTATACTCTGTCGACTCTGTGGTTCTGTGTGATCCAAAGTACTTGGATTCTCCGACTACTGACTACTGGGGGCTCTGACTACTACAAATGTATTGGGATACAGGTTCAAAATAAATCTGAGCGTCGCTGGAGAAACGAATCAAGTGTCTCAGGTTGCTGAGACAAAGAGAGAGAGAAAGAGAGCAAACAGAAAATAATTGTATAATATTGGAGCATACAATATTGGCACACATTGGCATACAGCAGCCACGTAGTCGCAGCTCTGCTTGGGGCGCAGCATCGGATCTTTTCTGTTCCAGTGACAATGGGAGGGAGGGGAGTCGGGGAGAACTCTGATAAGCATGGCACAAAAAGGTTAAATTAAATAGCACGAATGTCGGAGCGTACCGTAGTTAACCATAAAATTTACTGCCGCACGGGGCTGCGCAGCTGGACAACTTTTGGTGGTTGGGGCAGGCATTTCCAAAGACGCAGTTCGTACAATGGGAAATGGTGGGAAACGGAAACAATGAGACCGATTGTCGTCGTCCGATAGCAGAGTCCCCGGCAGAGACCGTTCCAGAAAGAGAAGCTTACGATTGCATGCATAATTATCACGCGAGCATACTATACTATACTATATAATCGAAGTTTTGATTCGGCTGGCGGTTGTGGCTGGCGCAACTGTGTTTGCTTCTCTACTGGGGCGGGCTGGGGCTGGGGCTGGGACTGTGGCTGGGACTGGGGCGAGTCTTCAGACCCGCCCTTTCCCGATGGCTATCGCCGTTCGCTTGTCACACAACAAGGTGTCAAACAGCATTGACAAATGAAAGTGAAACTCCAATTCGAACTCAAACAGAAACCGAAAATAGAATTGGAAATCGATGGAGTTACGGGGACAGGGACAGGGACACCTGGACACACACGTTGTAGCGATCGATGGCCGGTTAGGATAGCGCCACCACCTCCATCCTCCATTGTGTCTGTCAAGTTGACATGTAAATCGTTAGAACGTGTTGGATTGATTGTTCTCGCCTTGACGCGCTTCTTCGATTATCCTACTGTAAAGAGGCTGCTATCAGGGATCATTTGTCAGGAATTTCCGCCCGATAAAGTCGTGTATAATTTGTAATTGTTAATACGCTAGATATTAGATATACGCGCCCCATCTGGGCGAACTGGGCACATTGTTGCTGGAGGATTTCCTGTGAAATCTTCATTTTCCCCTGTTAATTGTTGTCGCTTATAAATGATTGAACTGCCGATCCCCATCGGCAGCCAGAGTTGTTAATGTGGGCACATTATGCTTGGGCATTCAAAGGATTGGCCATTTCTACGAAGGATCTGGATGGCCAGGGGTTTCCCACGAATTCGGGAGTTTCTGTCTGTCACTCGGGCAGTGACACCACTGACAGGGAAATATCAAGAGAGTACGAGAGAGTACATGTAATTATTGATATCGGGGCTCAATTGCGATTCAATGATAAGATGCCGGTGTTTGGACAGATGTTGTGATGCAACTTTCCATATCGTATCTATAAGAATGTGCATCTGCATCTGCATAAGCAATAACAATAAGACGGAACGGAACGGATCGGAACTCATTTGCCCAACACGAAGCAAATCCCTGCACATGCCAAAACGCCATCGAGGACAAAGCATGAGGAAACAATTGCGGTTGCATTACCCCCAGAAGCCACTGCCAGCCTTTCCGATTCAAATTCCAGCATCCTCCAGCATTCAGCAGCCACCACTCAGCCTCCAGCCGGGCAGCGGGCAACGGGCAACGGGCAACGGGCATTGAAATCCACAATCAAGGGACATGCCTGGGGAATCAACAAAGGATACAGAGGATACAGAACTCAGGTAACGCCCGGCATGCCGCCAAAAAAAGAAAAAAAATTATAAATCTCGAACGGTGCTCTATTGTTGGCTGCCTCCCCTGCTCTGGCTGTGATTATTTTGATGACGAGACGATCATGGATGTTGTTCTTTCCTTTTGCTTGAATTATTCCCCGCTATCCATTGTGCGCCCGCAGATGTAAGTCAACGTCCGAGGCGAGTCGAGTCGAGTCGGGTCGGGTCGGGTCTGTGCAAACAGATGCACGTCTTGCCAAAAACCCAAGCCACGACCAAGTCGAAGACGCGCCAAAGGAGCCGGCCCAAACCGAACCGGGCTGAGCTGCAGCTGTCAATTCCAAGCCACTAACGTGCCACCCTCGAGCGGCATCGCCTCGCCTCGCATCGCCTCGGTCCCGACGTTTGCCGAGTTGACAATATTTCTAAAACTGATTTGTGCTGCCTGCCCGAAGTGCAGATGCGAGTCCTTCCTTCGCTCCTTTGGTTTTCCTCGCCATTGTTGGCCGATCACCGCCCGCCCGGTGCAATGATTTTTCCTCCCCTGCTCGACTGATTTTTCTTCGAGTTTTTTTATTTGCAGGCTACCCAGGAATTCTTGTTTGCGCTAAGAACATGCCTAAGGTGTTAAAATGCTGTTAATAGGGGAGTTTTGGCTTGACCTGTGATAACTTGGTGTGTGGCTCGGGCTGGGCTAAGATACGGCAGATCAAGGAGAGTGCTAGATCTGATCCAGACCATCAAGGTGTGTCTCTGTGAGCAGTACTTACAGGACAGTCTGCTCAATAGTATTAATATATCGGGGAACTACTATAATTCTAAAGCTTTGAAAGCGGAATAAGCGTTTCCTTTGAGGCTCACTCTGGTCCTGCTTCTACTCTACTCTTTACCCATACAGAACAAGCCAGATAGGAGCCACCACCTGGAGATTTTCAATGATTTTATTTCCTACTTCCTTGTTCTTGTGCAGCATAACTCTTAAAGGACTTCCTCTCCTTCAGTTTGAGTTGTAATCACCGCAACAGAATTATAAAATATTTATACACTGCATTTAGGAGACACATGTAATGGGCTAAACAGAGTGTTTAGTGTGGCCAACAAGGGGGACACACGCAATGCTTCCTAATCAGCTTAGTAGGAGAAGGAGAAAATCGGAGGTAGATGACGACAGCACGGCGACAACAATGGCTGTAATGCCGTCGCATTGACAGGATAACGAAGCATGAATAGGCACGAAACCTGCGCGAATGTCCCGCGAACAAAGCGATATCGTAAACGGAGACAGAGTCAAGGCAGCTGCTACAAGTGCAGGCCAAGGACAAAAGAGCTTCTTGGGTAGTTTGGGGTCTGGCCCTGGTCCTGGTCCTGGTACTCGTCCTGGGGTCGGGGGTCATTCACAGTTTGGCGAGAACAATGGGACACAGGTAGCCGTGGAGATGGAGACAGAAACGGCACCCGCACATAATCGCCGACAGACAGCCAGATACGGCCAGGTGATCCAACTTTTTGATTTCTTCTGGCTAAAGGACATTGATACGCCAGCTACCAGCTACCAGCTACGGCGGCGGATTCCTGGAAGCAATTCCTTTCGCTGGCTTTTCAAAACATTTACTCCAGTGTTCGAGCGTTGGGTTTTGGGTTTATTGTGTCGTGGACCTATTGATTGTGCAATGCACCCGGAGCAGGGCCCGTGGCAGAGATTTACCCTCATGCTCCCCCTCTTCGATTTATGGATCGAAGTTTCATTGTTGTGTGCCAAAACCCAACAGCAACAACAGCAGCAGGAGTTGCAGTTGGCCTCTCTCGCTCCGCTCCGCTCTGGTCCTGCCCTGGCCGGGCTTGGCCTGGCCTGGCCTGGCCTGGGGGTAGTAATCAACCATTCATTGTCAACGAGATCACACATCGTATATCTTGGCCTAGAGTTTGTTTTCTTTGGTGGTATTCTAAATGTTCGTTCCTTTCTTTCCTTTCTCCTCTGCTCTATTCATTGCTTTTTGCAAAAGGTGCACCGGGCCAGGTGAGCACTGGCGGTGATTTGAAGATGCTGTTGGGATAGGGCGATATGGAGAAAGACACAGGAACAGGCAAGGGGGACGAAATGAAAGTAGCGAAGGCCTGAAAGCTGTGAAAGTAGAAAAGTTCCTGTCATAGATGGGGAAAATATACTTAAGACAAACCTAAATACAGATTGAACCCAAGAATACCCACGCCCGGTCTGATACAGCCCCATCTCAGTTGTTCAAATGTTTGTGGATTTTTGAATTAATTATTTTTGGCAATCTTATCAGTCAAAAATTAAATAATTCATAAATTGACTTCCTTCACGGATTGTTCTCCATTTAAAAAGTAAAATCTGCCAGTGTTGGAGAGTAATAATTATAAATAGTATCTTGGTTTATCCTATGTCCTATAGGTTCTCTTTCGCCATTCTGCCGCTCTTCTTCTGCAAAATTTTGTTCATCTCTGGTGGGTTTCAATTCTCTGCACGATTCGATTTACGAGCCTGGCTCCTCTTCCAACAATACAATCCGAAGTCTGTACATCACTGCCATTGTCGGCTATAACAAATGAGCCGGCACAAGGTGCAAAAATGGGACGGGCCCATTGTCTGCGGAAAACAACAACAGGCAACAGGCAACAGCCAAGAGGGAAGAGGGAAGAGGGAAGACTAGCAGAAAGCAAGGCAGCACCTGTAGAAATTCCGATAGCGCTCGCTCGCATGAATGAAAAATGGCTTGGGTGGAAATTATGCGGACAATCTCTACCTAATGCTAATGAGCGGACCAGCCCGGATCAGAATCTGTAGCCTAGGTACTTTAGCCGATCATTGGACGACAAGTGCGAGGGTTGCCGAAGGTGGCTGGGTTTTTCTGCGCGATGAATGAAAGGAGTTGGACTATCCGGCGACGTCCTGTGGCAATTCCGCGGCGGCACTGCATAGTGATGATAGTGATGAGGAGGTACTGTCCTGGAGCTGTCATGGCGGTTAATTGCGCGGAATAACACACGTATTCCGTCAGAGGTAGGTAGATGGAGTCGGGGACATTTCCCGCGATCCGCGCATCGGTGTTTTGCTTGAGTTTGGCTGACTCGTAATTGGATAATCCGGGAAATTACTTTAAATCCAATGCTGATCCACATCCGGACAAGGTGGTGGCCTGTTCGAAAGGGAAATTCTGGCGGTCCTGGGATTCTGCGATTTCAGTTAGGATCGTCGGATAGGATCGATCGCGTTGGAATTTTTTTTGTCACGTCCTGGGTTTATGAAAACTTTTGGGTTGATTTGCTTTGGTTTTTTCACAAATATTCTCCTGGGAACAACCTCATCCTCATCCATCTGTACCCTGTACCCTGTTCCGTGCGGGAACATGCGCACTTCTGATTTGGTTTTTTTGATGACTGGGAAATTGGTTTCTGGCTGAAAGTCTGTTTCTTAGGCAACGAGAAGAGAGTTGGGAAAGTTCTGGATGTGGGTCCTGATGGGCGGTGTAGCAGCCTCAGCCTCAGCCTCGAGGTTGGCTGAAGGTTGGCTGTGTGTGTGCAAGGAGGCCCTCGCCAGTCAAAGATCATGGGAGGAGGACGGTATCGCGAAATAATTCAACAGAGCAGTTTATCAACAAAATTCTAAATACATTTCTAACAGGCATACAAATAAACCATCATGGTATATTTTGTATATAACTATTTTAAGCTTATTTATGTTTTCCTTCTGATCTTAAATATTTTATTTTTATGGATTTTGGAAATATATGGAAATAAATAATCAACCAGAGAAAGTCCAAACACTGGGATGTGGAACAAACAGCTTAAAACAATTTAAAACCATTTATTTAATTTATCACACTTGTGTAATAATATTATTTATATAGTTTTCATAAGATAAAACTGACAAAAGGAGTAAAACTGTTTTACTTTTTTACTTTGCACATTTTTTGCACAGTTTTTAATGTTTCAGGATGATGCCCCAAATTTAAGGGTATTCGCGAAAAGTTGTAGATGGTATAAAAAAGAATCGCAACTAATTTGTATTGGATTTGTTGATGACCGTCGCCGTAGTTAGTCGAAACAATTTTTAATATTAGCAGAATGCTCCTGAGTTGAAGGGGTTTTTTTTAAACTCAAATGCTGATATCTGTATTTTGGCTGACAGCTCTGGACTCATTGTTAATCAAGTAATCCAATTTCAAAGTACAAGTACTCTACTTGCAAGGGTACTACAATAATCTAAGCTTATTTATGTTCATTAATAAGGCATTCGTTTCCAAACAAGGACGTCAATTACTTCGTCAAGTAAAAAGTAGCTAAATGCATCAAAACTTAATGAACTTTATGTCCTCTTAGGTATGGAAGGAAGATATCCCTTTGTATAACAATACTTGTAAGCCCTGAGTGATATTCCTTGAATTTATCGATCTCTGAGTAAGTTTCCATTCTGTCTAATAACTGGGCAGGATTTTTAAGGCTATCTGTCTCGTGGAAGGCTTTGTTCTTGCATCTACAACTGCACAACAAGACAGCGAAAATCGTATACTAAAGAGTCGAAATTGTAATATTCTCGTATGCTTGAGTTTACTCTTCAATAGGATGGGAAAAGGAACTGTACAAGTTCACAGGAGCCTTGCAGAATCTCCAAGGACCATCAGAATTGGAACCTTAAAGTGTATTGTGTATTGGATCGTATCGATTCGATCGAGCTCAATGAGGCACTGGAGATGATAAGTCAGTGAAAAGTGCACCCCAGAGCTAGCAGACTGTCGGTTAGCTGGCACTCGGCTCATTATCAACTGCTTCGCAGCACTATTTATAGAGCACCTCTCCGCCAAGGTGTCATTTCTGAAGCCCGTGCTGCTCAGGTTCAACTCCCCTCCAGTTTATGGCCCCGGCCTGCAGGGACAGATGTGTGCCCAAGTACTCGATGCACTTAGAGCTCAAATGGAATGCAGAAACCACCCCAAGTAACCCGACAGAGAGTCCAATTTGACTCGTGGAAAATGCCAGCGGTTAAAAATAGAAGCGCCGAGGAGTGCGCTGCCGAACCTGCAGGAGATTGACGATCGCCGCCAAGTGGCTGCGACCTGAGGGGGAGATGGTAGGAGATGTTTTGACGAGTTATTACAGCACGGATGCGGGGCGGAAATCGGAGAACCCTGGGTATCGCTAGCCGAGGTGACTGGAGGTCTGAGAGCGAGAAGCTGTCATAAGTTACCAGCCAAGAGCTTGCTCTGCTCTCGCTGGGCCGGGCCGGGCCGTTTGGGGAGGGTGCGCCTGCGTTGGATGCCCGTCGCTTTGGATTCCGGTGTACTTCCCAGGGAGAGCGCAGGCAGGTAGAGGCCATGGGAACAAGGGAGCGAGGGAGAGCGACAAATGGGAAACACGCAATAAGGGTATGGGAAAAGTGTCGATGTGCCTGTTGTTGTTGCTGCTGCTGCTGTTGCTGTTGCTGTTGCTGGTAGGTAGCAACGCACACGTGCGCCTGCCACCTAGTGCGCGTGTGTGTGTGTGTGTGTGTGTGAGAACTGAAGAAGAACCACCACCAAATCGAAGCAGAAGCAGAGCGGCAGAGAAGCAGAGAAGCAGCAGCAGCCCCGAGCTCTGGCGTATAAAAGAGAGTGCTCGGCCCTCGACCTGTCACACCATCCTCAGCGCTCGTTGAGTAAGCAACACTCACAGCAACACAGCCACACAGCAACGATCTCTCAGTGAACTAACCCGGAACTACCGCGAAGAACCCTCTCAACCGATCTTACCCCCTCTCAACGCACACACACACACACACCACAATGGCTGCAAACTACAAGAGCTGCCCGCTGAAGAAGCGGCCCATCGTCTTCGTGGAGCAGGAGGAGCATCCGCACCCGCAAACGGAGGCCTTGGCCCTGACCAAGAACTCGTCGTTTGCCGTATTCCCCGCCGGTGAGGATCAGCCACAGGATCTCTCGCTAAAGCGCAAGGCCAGCCGCGAGCAGGACTTTGAGGATTACGAACTGCCCGCCAAGCGCGAATACGTCCTGAACCTCTCCAAGGCCCCAGAGACGCCGCGATCGGCCTCGCCCCTGTGCTCGGCCCTTCTCTCGCCGAAGGACGATCACTCGGACTACCAGCCCACAGACATTCACATGCGCGGACTGACGGCCGCCACAGCCGGATACACGACCAACCCGTACCAGTCGGCCTTCGTGATGGCTGCCGGATGCAACCCCATCTCGGCCCTGTGGAGCAGCTACCAGCCGCACATCGCCAGCCACCTGAGCGCCTTCCCGTCGCCGGCCAGCTCAATGGCCAGCTCAATGGCCAGCTCCATGGCCTCCCCGCACTCGGCTTACAGCTACCAGCAGATGACGCCACCCTCGAGTCCCGGCTCGGAGGCCAGCTCCGAGCCCGAGGATCTCTCCGTGCGCAACGACATTCCCCTGCCGGCCCTGTTCCACCTCTTCGACGAAGCCCGCAGCAGCAGTGCCAGCTCCAGCAGCGGCAGCGTAGCATCCTACGCCTACTTGACCGCCAGCAGTGCTCCATCTACGAGCGGCAACAACGTAAGCATCGCCTCGAGCGCCGCCAAGAACTACCGCTTCAAGTGTGACCAGTGCCAGAAGATGTACTCCACGTCCATCGGCCTCTCGAAGCACCGCCAGTTCCACTGCCCAGCCGCCGAGTGCAACCAGGAGAAGAAGACGCACTCCTGCGAGGAATGCGGCAAGCTGTACACCACCATCGGAGCCCTCAAGATGCACATCCGCACCCACACGCTGCCCTGCAAGTGCCCCATCTGCGGCAAGGCCTTCTCGCGCCCCTGGCTGCTGCAGGGCCACATCCGCACCCACACCGGCGAGAAGCCCTTCCAGTGCCCGGACTGCCCGCGCTCCTTCGCCGACCGTTCCAATCTGCGAGCCCACCAGCAGACCCACGTGGACGTGAAGAAGTACGCCTGCCAGGTGTGCCACAAGTCCTTCTCTCGCATGTCGCTCCTCAACAAGCACTCCGCCTCCAACTGCACCATCACGATTGCGTAGTGAGGAGCACGACATCGCCCTCAGACGAGGCACCTTGACTGTGCCGGACACGGCAGATCTGACACATAAAGCTGACACATTCCGCTGGCGAAGACCAAGCTACCGACAATAACTCCACTCAGATCCTAGTTAACATTAGTTATCACTTTATCCCCCGTAAGTCGATTCGGTTTTGGTGCTATAGTTAGGACTATTTTTCCCACAACTCTCTATTTATATCAGTTATAGCGTTCCTAGATCTTAAGCTCATGTACATTTCCTCATCATCACAGCAGCATTTGACCAAATTTAATCATTTAGTTTCTTAGTTTAGCTAACGTTTTAGTTTTACTTACAATTCTCATTATGTTAAACAACCGTTGTTAGGACTTTTGCTAGTGTTAAGAACATCTATTTTTACTGAAATAAAACTACAAAAAATCAACACGAACTTTGCAATGTTTTACTTATGCCAGTGCTCGTATGAGTTCCGCTGCTTTCAGCACAACAAGAGGGACATTCGAGTATACGGGGCTTACGGATTCCATAAACAGGAAGAAGACCAAAAGGTTTTTGCAGCAACCCAACCCTCTCAGTCAATAGAGGGGAATACAATGGGCATACCGAGGTTTTTGGAGAGAAACACCTTTGCCAAATGCAAACAGGGTTCCGATTTATCATACACTTTCCATTTCAGACACTTCCTCTTAACCCGCCCCCAATATTCCATCAGTGCGTATCAGAAACATCTGAAATTTGCACCTTTTCCCAATGCAAACATTTAATTAGCTGCCCCTCCAACCCAAAGCGACAGACGACAGACGACACTGCACATTTCCGGGTCTCTGGGGTTTCTCCAATCCTTTTCCAACCTTCGTAAGTATTTGCCAAACGGATCTCGGCGCATGCGTCCGTCCACGAAGTGCAGGTGATAGTCGTAGTGACGGCTGCTTATCGAGGACCTTGTTGATTGACATGTCACCGTGCTAGATTTGGTGCTCTAGACGGAGCCTAGATCCAGACGCGGTTTATCTGCTGACTCTGTTGGTCCGGGGTGTTTGATTAGAGTCGTCCACTGTATTTATTTGTGTGTCGATAAGATTTAATCCCCGACAGGCACGGGTCCTGTTCTGGATATGGATGGTCACGAACTCTTAGGGGATCGGGTCGGATCGCATGTGGATCGCAGTGATCGAACCATTAGCGACAATTGCAGAAACAGTAACACCGTTTCACCATAAATAAGACAGCCCACAAAAAACCGTTCCTAGAAGGTAACATTCAGGCAGCACAATGGACAATAAATTCACTTCCCTGGCAATCAGAGCGCGTCTCTTGTGCAATTGCAAAAAATCTAGGGAATACGATAGAACTGGTCACAAGGAATCAGCTGTGAGGAAACACCTTGCAGGCCAGACAATGGGAAGTCAGGACTGATCGCAGACTCGGTGTACCTGTCGCCCGATTGTCTGCCCGGCCAGGCCTTGTCCTCCTCACCCAGTGACCCACTGACTACTGAGAACCATTCCTTGGCCCTGGCCAGCTTCTGTGATCTGAGCCGCCTATTGTTGCGGCGGCATCCTTTGGCTTACTGCTCCCATTGTATTGTCCTGGCCATAATCAGTTCTTAGGGAAGGAATCACATCATTCCGAGCCAACCGCTGGAGTCAGCCCGCTCAGTGCATGCTGCGGTGCATGCAAATCCTTTTGATTGAATCGAGAGCCACCTGAGTCGCATTACCCTATTCCCCATTAGTCCAGCCGGGCGACCGAACAACACGATAACAAATTGCAATTGACAAAAGCAACCCAAGCCAAGCCAACCCAAGCCAAACCAGATGCGATCGATGGAAGAAGCATAGCACACGAAAGCCTCACCTGATGGGATGGGATGGGATGGGATAGGATGGGATCCGATGCGATGCGATTCCGATTTCGATTCCCATTCCATGCCATACAAATCGATGGCGGGCCATGATACAAGTCGCGGCATTTGTAATTGCTAAGACAACGACAACGTCGACTGCGACTGCGACTACGACCAAGACCAAGACCAAAACCAAGACGATGGAAGCGGCAACGACAACGACAACGACGACGACGACGACGACTACGACGACGAGGAGGAGGCAATCAGCGAGCGGCGCATGTCACACAGAAATGGAAAAAGAAAGAAAGACAAAAAGCTCATGCAAAACAAACATTAGGAAATCCAATACCGCGTGGAGTCGAGGAGCTGAACCGATCCGAGCTGATCGGAGCGGAGCGGAGCGGAGCGGGCTGGGCTCAGTTCAGTTCAGATCAGGCAGCCAGCAGCCACTTAGGCAGTCAGTCAGAGGAAGGCTGGAGTCGGGGAGTCGAGGAGTCGTGGTCGGTTCGGTTCGGTTTGGTTCGGTCGTTTAGGACGTCTGAGATTACGGCCGATTACGTTTTACTCCAAATTTGTATGCTGCCAGAGTTGTAATTGAAAAAGCATCAACATTAATCTTGGTAACTCTCCCGCACACACATTGCCATCGTCATCGCCATCGCCATCGCCGTCGTCAGCGCTGTGCGACTTGCGATTTTCGATTTCGATTTGGATTTGGATTTGGATTTCGTAACCCCGAGAGAGATCCGACTGCAGATAGGCGGGTGTAAGTGTGGGTTAGTCTATTGCTGCCAAATGCTTCAACATGGCCAAAAACATATTGCTTAATCGCAGCGCTGATGTGGAGCAGCAGATATGATCTCTGTGCACCCCCCCAGCCACCCCGCCTACCCTACCACAGCTGGAACATCCAGGCTGATGATGACGACGACGACGACGACAAGTGAGCGATGTGCGATCGCCGATCGCATTGCATAAATCAAAACCCGGAGAGAAATTGCACCGCCGACTGACAGCCCAGCCACGACAACTGTCCATCTGCAGAGCTCAGCGACTCAGGCCTTATGCCGCGCCACATGCAAATGATCGTGCCCAACATTCGACACCGTCTCCAGGCATTGACATTGCCAACCTGTCAGCGATCAGCGACCTTAACTGTAAAGCGGGTCCCAGGTCCCACAGACCGCAAAGGTTCTAGGCTGCAGTTTTGAGTTACATGACCAGAGAAACGTGGCGTTAGTAGTCGCTAAGTGCAGTCAAAGCCTCAGTCCAGACTCCATCCTGTGGCCATCAACTTGATGAAGATCACCCTCTCTCCAGCTCCCTCCCATTGGGCTTCGTGCCTTCGATGCTGTAGATCGCATAGCGTTGATAAATGTTGTTACTTGTCGTTCGCCAGTTGTAGTTTTCCTAGTTGTCGACAAGTCCGATCGATGGGTGGTTATAGTTGACATGTCGCTTTGTGTTTCCTCTCATCATCATCATCATCATCATCATCATCAGCAGCAGCGTTGTGGATGATCGCAGTGGAGACAGACATACAGACATATAGACATACAGGCAGAGGCAGAGGCAGCCACGATCGCCTCAGGGCTGCCCCACTGATTGCCATTGACATGTCTGGCATCCCGGCATCCCGGCCAAACGGTTAATTGTGGTTATGATTTCGTCTTCGCTTCTTGTCGGCTCGGTCTGCAATCAGTTTAATTAGTGGCCTTATATGCTGTACGAAAATTAACTTTACTTCCTGCTCGTCATCGGGGACTCATCTTCATCTTCATCTCCGATTTGAATTTCTTATGAGCAGCGGACAAGCTATAAATATTGCATAGAGTACAGTCAAAGGGTAGATGGTAGCTTGCCCAGTCCCTGCCCAGTCCCCACTCACAGCACCCACCCACTCCCATCTCCCACTCCCTCTCCCTCTACCAGTCCCCCGTTTAACGGCGTCCATCGGGCATATCCGATTCTTTAATTTGCAGGCAAATCGATTCGATTCGATTCCATTCCATCGTTCGCCCAGCGATTGCATCTACTTGACACACATCGCACGCAAATCGATGCGGTAGCATTTACAAAGATATACACGTACCTCCCAGCTTCACCGAATCGCCCCAAACATTTACGAAAGATGCGACTCCATGTCCAAAAATAGCTACCTCCATTCGGTAGCTTCGAAGTTCGAGCTGATGCTACCGAACTGATGCCGGCCTACGCCAAAAATGATTTATGTATGTGACTTTCTTCGCCCTCGCGGGAGGGGCCCTCGAAAGTGGGCCTACTCCAGTGGGGATCGCTGTGAGAACAAGAATGGCTACCACCTATAATGATCCCGGGTATTACATATACTCATCACTGGCCGTAGATGCAAAGGTGCTGAGACTTCGATCGCTACGAGCATTGATCTCTTCTCAGGGAAGGGCGAACGAGTGCGAGTAAGAGTACGAGTACGAGTACGAGTATATATGCATCTGATGACTTGTTCTGGCAGTCCAAATCTATGAAAATATATGCTGGAAAATGTTGCAACCCATTCACGTGTCGGGACCCATGTGGCACATGTGGAGAGCAGGGCCCTCGAAGGGGGAGAGCGGCAGAGCAGCGCAGCCCCGTGCTAGACACTCGCAGCGGTTGGTTGCTATGCAAATCGATCAGAGACTTATGATCGACTGTAGCCCGACTGGCCCCATCCCAGGCACGGTGACGTACCTAGCCCGAGCTACTGAAATATGCATGAGCCGAGCATCGGGGGAAAGACTTTCTTCCGTTTCCGCTGCGGCCAGAGCGAGACTCTGAAGTGCATTTAACGACCCGAGGAAGACACAGAAGTGTTTGGCCACACTCCATAAACTAACAGTCTGGATTGCAAGATTGTAAAAAGGAAGCCTTCGGAGCAATTAACTTTATCGACAGGCACAGCAGCGACGCACAACTGTCGACCGTCTGCTTATCATCCGACGTTTACCTGTTCTGATTTGAACACTGAAAGTGAAACCGTAAATTCTCGAGGGTCTAATTTGAGTCTTTGGCTATCAAATCAAACATCAGGTGTCGGCTTCTCCTTCTGACCCTCGGTGTTTTCATTGAGATCCCCGGCTGTCCCTGTCGGCGGCCTGATGATCACATTTTGGTCAGCTCGTAATTAATTTCAGCACTGCCCAAAATAGATACATCTTCGGAGCAGCGCTGACCCGGCCCAGAGCATGAGTTTGGGCCAGGAGAGCCATATGGTCGGCTGTCTCGGCTGCCCATGCCCATGGCCATGGCCATGGCCATGCCGCTGACTCTGCCCCCATACGCCTACCAAACAATGCCGATAAGGCCCGCTCTCGACCCGCTTAGTTAGTGGCAATTAACACGACACGCTTCAGGCCCTCGTGTGCCGTTCGTGTGCTGCCAACGCTCCTCTCCGGAGCGCTCACTTTTCATCAATTTTCGGGCCCACAACAGTTGGTCAAATGGTAGTTGCCCCTTCTGACCCTTGCCGGCCCGTAGTTTTCCCTAATGAATTCATTCGCTTCACTTTCTGG